ATTCCAATCAAATTCCAAAATGGTAAATATAAAGCTGCATCCAGTGGAGACTTGAAACAAATGAAAACCTGTTTCTGTGCAAAAGTAAAATCTGCTGTCAATCATGTTTCTTTAATTGTTCGGAGGGTTATGTGCTGCACTATTCCCTGTGTCTGAGAAGTACCTTACAAGGTTTAGTTTTTTTATAATGCACTGGTCACCATTTTTAGCTGATTTACCCGACTCAAAAAACTAAAACAGATCAAAACTTAAACAAATTTCCTAGTATTTCCTCAACATATGGCTTTAACTGTTTTTTAAAAATATGTTCGTATTAGATTCTTTGGTTTCATTGTTGAGATTGTTCCATAAACTGGTTCCTTTCACTGAAATGCAAAGGTCCTCTAAATTAGCATGATGACTAATATCATTTTTCCCAAATAGTAAAACCTTCTCTGTAGACCTTTGCATCAGACATGATTTTGAGCAAGTGATCCTCCCACACACTTCTGTGGCATTTCTTAATAATCACATGTGACTACACACTAAAGTTACAAACAAATCCAATTAACACAAACTTCTGAATCTCCTCAGAATTTTGATTTATTTTCTTTGAATATCTGGAAAGTATTTAAGACACGAGCATGATTGGTATTTATTTTGACTTATACAACAGAACATGTAAGAATTGAACATGAGAAAGAAGGAGAATGAATAACTACGCTATAATAAGTTTCAAGAGGCCCTTTGCTTTTCATAAGTCAAGGGAGTTCTATATTTTATGATGAACTACTCCAGGTGTGATACAGTCTGCAGTGAATACAATGCCTGCTCTCATAGGTGAGTTTGTTTTTGTTACATGTTGGCTGATTCACGCTGGATTAAGTGTTGTCTTGGTCTCCATCTCTCTTACTCAGACTTTTTAGAAGCCAGTGGGGGAGCTGTCTCCGAATATGTTATCTGAGAGTCCAGTGATTAGTCTGCTGAGTTCCTTTTGTATGTGTACATATATGTGTTTGAACATGTATTTGGGGTTATTCATGTGGTTGTATATATGAGGGCAAAACCAGCATTTAATCACTTCATGGGTCACGTTTCAGACACGGAGTGCGTAAAATTCCCTCTGTGGACAAATTGCTTTACAATTTATTGCTGATTAATGACCTTTTAAAAAAAAAGACACCGGGAAGAAACCACAGCCAAAGACTCCCACTCAGTCCACCGTCACTAAATCATCAGCACAAACAGAACAACAACAGTGAGGTGAAATCAGAGATATATTTCTATTCAGTGCTGGTTCAGCTGTTGGGCTCAAGTAATATTAGCTCAGCTTTTTTCAGTCGCAGCAGTGACCTCTGTGTGCCAAACACTGAGTGGTGTGAGACTAAGCTAAGACAACAGTGATAAAGAGTTTTGTTTTTGCTTTTTTAATCAGTTGAATATAAAACATGGCCTACAGGCAAGATATGGGGTATTTTCTCAACTTTTTCTCCCACGGTGCACATTAAACGTACAATACGTAACTTCGGCTTCTCTCAATCAACACAATAACAAGGCAGTTTGTTGATGTTGTTAAGCAGCATGGGATCATGGGAGTTGTTGATAAAAATCTACCTGATGCCTTAGGTGCAAATCATGTTCATGGATCAGGTTATTTATTTAAGTCTTCGTGTAATGCAGCAAACAATAATGGAAAGCCTGATAATTTACAGGTGACGAATACAAAGAGTGAAAGGACAAAATCAGCTCACCAGATAACTGACTGACTGTGTCTTTCTTTGTACGTTGTTTTCTGATCTACTCAGCAGACACATGATGTTCATACAGTAGTGCTGCCATACCAGCCAGTAGCCAGTTAAGATTTACCTTTAGCCTCAGCGTTCCCTGAAGTACGGCCTGTATCATTGATTACAAGGCCAAAACACTTAATGATGCTAAGGCTCACAACTGAGGTTATGTCTCGCACAGCCGCTGGTGACACCTCCTAACATCTGCTATTAGTTGGTAACTTAAATTGTGCAGAAGACTTTCAATCATACAAGGGATATTCACCATCTCGTCCCATATTCATTACCTTGAATACAATTAGGGGATTACTTTGGGTTTGAACATTGTTAGAAACATTTTGAATAAAGAAAAAAATAAAGTCGACAACAAAAAAAAAAAAAAACATTAATGAAGGGTTGTCACATATAACAATTTTAAAAGACTTTGGTTTTAAGAAAACATTTTCATAGTTTAACCAAAAAGGTTATCAAGTCTGTAGCACTGTCATTGTAAACAAATCATTAAGGACCAACAAACTAGTAATTGATCTCATTAACAAATACTGATTATGTTCCTGAGCTTATTTCTGTCCACTGTTGTTTCATCAATTTAGTCTCTTGAGTTTTCTTTGATTAATACCCCATACACAGCCTGCTGTATTAAATTCGTTACCTCACTAGACGTGTTTTAACACACAGGTGAAAATAACCCCTGAACAAATGCATTTACTCCCACTGAGCAACATTTGTTCTTTCCTGGATTTTTTTCCAGGAGTGGTGATGGTTGCTCGCCAAAAGCTTCAGCCATGGCTGGGTTTATGCAACAAAAGGTTTTAATGTGCCCTCTGGGCAGCTTGTCAGGTCAGACTGGACACTTCACTGACTTGCTATCGGAAAGTGACAGGACGGACCATCTGGGGCCATAGCTGGTTAGAATGCTAACTTCTGTAGAAGCAAATAAATGATAGAAATAGAAGCGGAAAAGTTAGCATTGGCACAGCTTTCAGCCACTGTGGACCACTCTTAGCAAGTAAAGGCAACGTTGCTGCTAGATTGGTTGACTAAATACCTAGAGAGCCCAGCTGTTTAAGTAAATTACTCAGCCTAAAAAATGTGACTCATTTTTAAAGATTTACAAATGGGTGTAGTGCAGAACATTACAAAACACTTCATTAATTGTGCTGTAATACATTAAAATATAGCAGCACATCAACGTGTATTGCTTCATTCTGAAGTAAAGAGATGTTTAAAAAAAGAAAAATCTTAAAATAACCTTTGGTATTTACTCACAGAAAGAATGGCCTTGAATAATGGAGTCAGTATGGGAGGTCTGTGGGGCTCCTCTGCTCAGCACCAAGACATTTTAGTTCGCCCTTCCTATTGTGTAAACACCACACCACAGGTTCCTGTCAGTGACCCATGAAGTCACTTACACAGTGTAAGTCTCACCTTCACACAATGCTGTGTTTTCCTTCATAATAGCAAGTACAGTTGAATAAATGCGGGTGAGAGACCACAGAGCCGGACAAGAATGTGAATGAATGGGTACCAGTAAGTACCAG